CAGACACACATTCCATTTAAAAACACACAATGGACCACGTTCACTTACCTAAACAATTCCAAAGACAATTAGTGATGAATTTAGGAGCTAATAACCTTAAATGTCATGGCCACAATAATAATAATAATAATAAAAATGTTATGTCGTCCAAGCGCTACTCCAGGAGAGTTCCGTATGAAGTTGCTCTCAGGTAATGTTAGAAGTTTTAGCAAAGTTTCATATAAAGCATTGCAGATAAGACAAAAATGCAGAAAAAGTGTATCATACCAAAAATTAAGGAGTTTAATTTTTACGTCATGCTAGTCTTAGTTTATTTATTATTTATTTACTATATTACTCACAAGCATTACAATTGTTTGACATCTAGTGTAATTGGTATCATAACATATTTTTTAAATGATATGATAATACATAATTGAATAATAATAATAATAATAAAATCTATTAAATTTAAATCCAAAACTAACTGAATTTCCACTGCAATGCCAAAAGAAAATGAAGCAAGTTCCTTTGTGTAGGCAATGTCATTCCAAAGTACATGAATCGTTGGTACTTACGAGTTATGACCCAAAACCTTCATCTCTAATTTATTCTATTCAACCATTTTTTTATTTTTTATTTTTATTTTGGATACAGTATACTATTCAACCATTAATCTCGAGCTTGTAGGAAGCGTGTATGAACCCAAATATAATTTGCAAACAACAAGATCAATAACATTCAATTGATTATAGTTTTAGGAATACAAAACCTCACACAATGGAAACAAACAAGCTACTGCATGGTATCCCACAAGAGCAAGATATATAGGAAACACATATGACCCACTATAGACCAAGTAAACATACACTCATATACAAGATAGACAGAATATCCTATTTACAGAACAAGTAAACCACCTAACTTATGCTAGTGGCATTAAGTTTTCTTAAAATACGACGGACAATAGAAGTTATTTGAAATTTGTTCAAAGTTCTAAATTATTATTTTCAATGACCTCACCTTAATCTTGAACTTTGAATTTTGTACTCTAAGCATTCATTTCAATTTTTCAAATTGCTATGCTTTTAATAGCTAAGTCAAAGTATCTGCAATTTGATCTTCGAATCTCCAAAACACTATTTCAATTTCTTCATTTTCAACCAACTCTTTGATGCAGTGATACTTGATATTTTTCCCTCATGCAATTTGATGGTCCTCAAAAATTGAGAACTATTGATTGTTTAATTGTTCCTTAAATCCAAATTTTTGCTGTAGAATTATTGTTTTACTCCAAGTTTATACGCAGGAGCAAATAGGGCTGAAGCAAAATGCACTGAATATAAAATAATTTATTTTATTACTTTTGGGCTTAAGGAATTATTTTATATTTTCAGGAGGCCATTGTCCATTTAGAAGAGGCCTAACTCAAAAATATAGCAAATTTGGAGAGAAAGAAAGGAGAAAGGGAAAAGGGAGACAATAAAGCAAGAAAGAGAAAAAGCAATAGTTCAACGTCATGTGTTTTTTTTTTTTTTTTTTTTTTTTTTCAGAAAGAGCAACCATTTACCTATGGACACGTTAGCGATAGCAGAGAGGAAAGGCAGGGAACATTTTTTTGCAGCACTATATCATTAAAATTCAGCAAAAGAAGAAGGTTTAGGGTTTAGGGTTTAGGGCTGATCTGTTAAGAGCGACGTCACTACTAGTGAACATACTACTTGACATGCTTTTGATGTTGCTACTCTATACTTAACCTATGTTGTTTGTTCGATGACCATGAGATCACCCCAGATTAAGATAAATTGCATAACTAAAAGTACTCTTACAAGTTTCCATATCTCCAACCCAATCACTATGTATAGCCTACTAAGATGAAATATCTGAGTGAGTGTATAGAATACCATGATCTCAAGTACTAGTAACATATCTCAAGATCCGCTTTGCTGCCTGCAAATGTGATTGTTGTGGTGTTTCCATGTAGTAACTCAAAATTCATATTTCATAGACCATGCATAGCCTAGTTGAAGTTAAATAGTGTGGACTACCAACATAATTTTTGGGGAAAAGTTCAAAAACTACTATGATTTTGCTTTGAATCACTTAGTCCCTTATTTTTTACCATCCTTAATGTCATTATAAATTTAACTAATCTACCTATTTTACCATTCTTAGAATAAGAAATAGATTGATGACAAAAAAAAAAGAAAAAGGAAAAGAAGACCAAATATATTGCACACTTACTAACACTTACAGAAAAGACTAAAAGAAAAAAAATTAAAAAAAATTAAGTCTAAATCAAGAAGAAGAAAACATTCTGGGAACAAAAATATATAAGGAAAAAAAATGTCAAATATGTTAAAATCTTACAACAATAACGAAAAAGACTACAAGTAAAAAACAATGAAAATTTATAACAAAAAAAACAATGAAATTAGTCTTAATAAAAAAGATGAAATTAGTTTGAAGACAAATAAAAATAAGACAAAAAAGAAAGAGAAGAAAAAATAAGACAAAAAATGAAAGAAAAAAGAAATTAGTATTGTAAGTTTTCAACATGTTTGACCTTATTTTTCTTCTATTTTTTCTTTTTTGTTCTCAATTTATTTTCTTCTTTTTGATTTAGATATATGTATTTTTTTTTTATTTTTTTCACTTTTAGTTTTTTCTATCCTATTAAAAGAAACAGGAAAAAAAATAGACAAAAAATATGACAAATAAAAAATAGAAGAAAAATAAATTAGTATTGCAAGTTTTTAACATATTTTATCTTCTTTTTTTTGTGCTTTGTCTATTTTCTTTTCTTTTTTTAGATTTAGACATATTTGATCTTGTTTTTTCTTCTATTTCTTTTTTATCTTCAATCTAGCTATTTTCTTCTTTTTGATCTAAACTATTTTTTTTTTTTTTACTTTTAATTGTTCCTGGTACTATTTTAAGTTTCCAACATATTAGGTCTTTTTTTTTCTTTTATTCTTTTTGTCCTAAAATTATTTTCTTATTTTTTATTTGGACATGTTTGATTTTTTTTTCATTTTTTTCGTTTAGTCTTTTGTATAAGTATTGTAAGTTTTAAACATATTTGGTTTTATTTTTTTTCTTTTTTATCCCCAATTTATTTTCTTCTTCTGAAAAGGGTATGCTAGATAAATTAGTTAAATTTCTAACAATATTAGGGATGAGTTTGGATGGAAGAAAATCATAAGGGAGTAAGTAATTCAAATTAAAAATAGGGGATTAAGCGATTCAAAGCAAAATGATAAGGAAATTTGTCAATTTTTCCCTAATTTTTATAATGTGTAGGAATTATCAATTTACCCATTACTCCTTTCTTCATTTCCAAGCATTTTGCAACTACAGTTTTTATAGATATAACAAATTCCATCTTAATTTTTTTTAAAAAAATAAAAAATCACCAACACATTTCTTTTGCAAAATAAAGACGCCACCTTCCATCTTTTATACTTCTACACCTAAGAATAGAGGTGTCAATATAGGTTATGACACGCGGGTCGACTCGTGACACGACATGAAAATTCGTGTTCGGGTTGACCCGCAAAAAAAATCGTGTCATATTGAAAAAAATGACACGTAAAAAATTCGTGTCGTGTTCGTGTTGATGTATTCGTGTTCGTGTGACCCATATTTTTTTAATTATTTTTTTATTTTTTAATTATTATTTTTTAATTTTTTTTTAATTTCGACCCATTGTTTTGATTTTTTTTGTCAATTACCGTTTTGACCCTTATTTTGTGTGTTATTCGTGTCGTGTCAACCCGCAAAAAATTCGTGTCGTGTTAGTGTTGAAGATTTTAACACGAATAAAAATTCGTGTCGTGTTCGTGTTGATGTATTCGTGTCGTGTCAAATGTGTGTCGTGTCAACCGGTTTGATACCCCTACCTAAGAAGTAAGACATATGACCTATGTTTGTCATTTTAAACTAGAGCGTCATAGCCTTCTTGAATTTTGCAAGCATTGCTTCAGAATTCTACAAGCATACAATCATCATATCACCTTTGTTTTGTCTTGACATATGACACGAGCTGTCGAACTCGCGCAAATTAAAAATTATTTTTTTAATTAGGGTTCAGAAAATTTGCAGTAAAGTGGAAACCCTAAGTCGTCTCTTAAGGAAATTGTTTTGGTTAAAATCGCTTATGAGAACAGAAAATTAAAAGGGGGGTTTTAGATTTTGATTCAATAATTAAAGAGGCAGAATATAAATTTGGAATAAAAATTCGTAATTAAAAATAACCAACCTAAGGTTTGGGATCCATGAACGTCTTTCCTCGGATAAGAAAATATCAGAATCGTGATTGATTTGTCAATCAGATCAGAATCCTTATTTCCAATTGACAACCCTCTCTAAGCGATCGCTTAGCATTTGATCAAAGACAATGCTTCTACTCATACAATCGCAGAGTATCAGCCTGCTTGATTTAAGGTCATAGGGTCAATCAACCTAATCATCAAATCTGATGATTAATCTCTTTCCATAATCGCAATCGCGAACCTCAGATTGAATATCCACGATCGCATGATATCAATCTGAGTTTGGAAGGGAAACGAAAACTGATTTGAAATAAACGCAGACCCTCAAGACTAATCCATGGAATCCATTACCCTTAGGTTGATTAAAAGGTTCTTAGCCTCGCATGGCTAAGGTAAGCATAATTGAAATAAGAAGAAGAAGAAGAAAAAGATGAAGAACGCGAAGAACGCTTCAGAGAAAATACTTTTCTGTTGTAAAACTGACTCCCAAGGGTTTCCTAGAGTCCCCTTTAAATAGCCGTCACGCAGGACGGCTAGGGTTTCATCACTTCAGCCCAAAGATAAAATAAAAGCTAAATAACAATAAAACAAAACATGGCCTTGGGCCCTAAACACATTGGGTCCTAATGTGAATTACAAGTCCAAACGTCAAAATAAAATTCCAGAAAAACATGTCATCTTGAGATCAAGTTTCGATCATCTTCCCGTCCGAATTGGGCTTTAGTATCTGAATTAGAGATTGTAGCCCTATCTGTTAGCTGCAAATAGCAACAAGAACGGAGTCAATCGGACATCTGTAGAGTGAGATATGGTCAAAATACAAAAGTAGTGTAAATCTGGAAAATTATGACGAAAAACAATTAAACCCAACTAAAATCTAGAATAGTGAATTGACCCAAAAGACCTTTATTTAATTCAAATAAATCATAAAAATACCAACCAAGAGTAATAAATAAGTGTAACAAAATATGAGTTATCAAATTCCCTCACACTTATCTTTTTGCACTCCTGGGCAAAACCAAACTAAAATTGAAAGCAAAGACTAAGATCAACCAATCCTTTCTAACAACTATGAAGCATACAGAAAATATACAAAGATCACAAGTCTTCCACAGGTAAATCAATCAGGACAGAAATTCCCTAATCTCAAATCACAAGACCTGCTAACTTCAACTGCAACTGCTAACTGCACAAAAATGGTTCCTCACAAGATGCTCTCAATTTTTCTCTCAAGCGTATCAGTTAATTCAGTATATCACTCAAATCAACTCAAGAAAATCATCCTACCATAGGCTTGCTCAAGTTCTACTTCTCCACTGCTCATAACACATGCATGCACAAATCAAGAGGGCTTTATGCAGGGTTGTAATGGGGCTGGGGTAAAGGTATGGATGAATAAAACCTCACAAGGGTAAACCATGTCATGCAATCAACAGCACAGAATCAATCAACAGGTAGTTGTAATCCAACAGATTTTATGCTATCAAACACTGTGATCTATGTCTACTCTATGTACCACTCAATAATTACCAGAAAGAAAAGGAAAATCTACCTATGAAAAAATCATAAACTAAAAGAAAGAAAGGAAAAGAAAAATAAAAATGCAAATAACAGAAAGAAAAGAAAAAGTCAAAAACTAAAAGAAAGAAAGGAAAAGAAAAATAAAAATGCAAATAACAGGAGAATCCCGAAGGAGAATAAACAGCATCAAGCAGACTCTCAAACTGTTCTGAGCTCTTGCTGGAACCAGTTCATTTTTCGGATTTGCCATTACAGTCACTCCAGACTTCTTGGGAACCACTTGAAACGGGTTGACCCACCAGCTATCTGAAATGGGATAAATGATGTCGGCCTGTATCGGCAATGTCAGAAGCTTTTCCTCCCACTCAGGTAGAAGGGTCTTGGCCACTATCACAGGTAACTGCTCATTTTCCTCCAGATATGCATACTTCAGATGGTCAGGTAGATCCTTCACTTCCAACTTAAGTGGTTGCTCAGTGGATGGGAGAAGTCTAGTGGGTGCAGGTTCTGCAGAAAACACATTAACATCTATGCCTGCAATCAAATTCTCAGAAATAGAACCTTCAATAATTTCAACAGGCAACTCAGAATTCAACACCAATGCAGAACCACTGTGCAAATCATCATTCAATACATGATTAAAATCAGAACAACACAAAGCTATCTCAGCACAAGCAGTACAGTTACTACTATCGGTACAATCACATGACAGAGCAGAATCAAGTAATGATGATAATTCTGGATATTCAGCAGTTAAGTCAGTAGAGATATCATCCATCATTTCATCAATTACATCCATATAGAAAATAGAATGCTCTTCCCTAGGAAATTTCATGGCATCAAAAATATTAAAATTAACCATGCTATCACCAAATTCTAAGGAAAGAGTACCAGCATGCACATCTATCTTAGTCCTAGCAGTTTTCATGAAAGGTCTACCAAGTATAATTGTACTACTAGGAATCTCACCCTCCATCCCTAAGACATAGAAATCAGCAGGAAAAATCAGATTGTTCACCCTAACTAATATATCTTCAACTACACCAGAAGGATGAACACTACTCCTGTTGGCTAACTGAACAACAATACCAGTAGCACGCGAGGGATCAAGACCAAGAGACTTATACACAGATTCAGGCATAACATTAATGGATGCTCTTAAGTCTAACATACAATCATGAAAAATAGAATTTCCAATAATGCAAGGGATAGTAAATGTCCCTGGATCTTGGCACTTCTTGGGCATGGGCTGGATGAGTGCTGACATATTCTGGCTGACGCTGACTCGTTCATCTCCTTTCAACCTCCTCTTGTTGGTGCATAACTCCTTCAGAAACTTAGCATATCTTGGAATTTGCTGAATCGCATCCAAGAGTGGGATATTGACCTCTACTTTTCTGAAGGTGTCAAGAATCTCTTTATCTTGAGCTTTTGCTGCTTGCTTTTTAGACTGAGTGGCTCTTTGAGGAAAAGGTAACGGAATGTGGACATCAGAAGTATCAGTATTTTGCTTCCTTGAACCAGTGTCACCTCCTTGAGATGACTTAACAGCAGATTGGTTTGGTTCCTTCAGTTGCTTGCCAGACCGCAGAGAGATGGCACTAACATTGCCGGTTCCCTTTGGATTTGGAACTGTCTGTGATGGAAGGGAGATACAACTTGCTTGTTGATTCTGACTCATTGATGTTGCAAGTTGGCCAATCTGTGTTTGCAGATTCTGAATGGAAGACTCAGTCCTCTTCTGGAACTGCAGATTGCTAGTGGCCATCTGTTTCATTAAATCCTCCAAAGAAGGGCCATTGCTACTAGCTTGCTGCTGCACTGGTGGCTGCTGCTGCATTGGCTGCTGAGGGGCAAATTGTTGAAAATTTTTCCTCTGTTGTGGAGGCACAAACTGCTGCCTCTGCTGGAATGGTAAATTTTGTTGACTCTAATATGGAACATTTTGCTGATTCTGGTTCCATATGAGGTTGGGATGATTCTTCCAGCCAGGATTGTAAGTGTTGGAGAATGGATTATTTTGTTGCTGGTGCTGGTGCTGTGGATTTTTAGGAAAAACTGCAGCAACAGACTGGTCAACTTGGGAACCGTTGTCATGTAAGGAAGGACAAGCATCCGTGGGATGAGAAGGATCACAGCAGATGCCACACGGGTTGTTTGTCTATTGAGCAGAAGGTTGCACTGTCTGTGTCACTGCCAACTGCCTCACCATTGATGTCAACTCATCAAGCCTGTTCTCTATTCTCTGGTTATCTGTGCTTGATGCTCCTGCTGCTGCCACTATTGGATTTTGCATTGGAGAAGTTTGCACTTGGAACACTGCACTGCTGCTTGCTCTAGTGCCAAATTGTTGAGCATTAGCAGCTATCTCAGCAATCAGCTCCTTGGCCTCATTAGGTGTTTTATTGCTCATGACTCCTCCACTAGCTGCATCCAGAAGGTTCCTATCCATAGGCAGCAGCCCTTCATAGAAGTAAACAAGCAAGAGATTGTCTGGAATTTGATGGTGTGGGCAGCTTGAACAAAGCCTTTTAAATCGCTCTCAATACTCATGCATGTTCTCCCCATTAGCTTGCCTTATGCCACTGATCTCCTTTCTGATTGAAGTGGCCCTGGATGAAGGGAATAATTTCTCCAGAAACAATCTGGCCATGTCATTCCAGCTTACAATGGAGGAAGGTGGAAGGTAGTACAACCAGTCCGTAGCTCCACTGTCCAAAGAGAAAGGGAAAGCACGCAGCTTGATTTGTTCCTCATCCACCCCTGTTGGCTTCATAGTGCTGCAGACTATATGAAATTCCTTCAGATGTTTGTGGGGATCCTCACCTGCAAGACCATGAAACTCGGGCAGCAAGTGTATTAGTCCAGACTTAAGCTCAAAAGGTACAACAAGATTAGTATAACGAATACACAAGGGCTACTCATTATCAACATTAGGAGCAGCCAATTGCTTAAGTGTTCTATCACCCATGATTTCAGAATCAAATAAATGACCAAACGAATAAACACTATGTAAAGGACTCGAACAAACAGACTCGATAGACTCAACAGACTCTAAGGTATGCTCAGGAACAGCTCTACTGTAAGTCAACCTACGAGCTCTACTAGCAGCATGCAATGATCTCTCTATCACAGGGTCATATGCATATAAATCATCAACACTAGTATTACTCCTAGTCATGCATCATAGGCAAAGCATACAACAATAAAATCACAAAACGTACGATAAGACAAAAAAAATTATTTTTTTTTTTTTGAAGAACGAAAATTAAAGAAAAAGAAGATGAAGATGAAAAAGAAGATGATCAAGAATCAGAAAACGATTTAGACCGATGCAATTTCCCCGGCAACGGCGCCAAATTTGACACGAGCTGTCGAACTCGCGCAAATTAAAATTATTTTTTTAATTAGGGTTCAGAAAAATTTGCAGTAAAGTGGAAACCCTAAGTCGTCTCTCAAGGAAATTGTTTTGGTTAAAATCGCTTATGAGAACAGAAAATTAAAAGGGGGGTTTTAGATTTTGATTCAATAATTAAAGAGGCAGAATATAAATTTGGAATAAAAATTCGTAATTAAAAATAACCAACCTAAGGTTTGGGATCCATGGACGTCTTTCCTCGGATAAGAAAATATCAGAATCGTGATTGATTTGTCAATCGGATCAGAATCCTTATTTCCAATTGACAACCCTCTCTAAGCGATCGCTTAGCATTTGATCAAAGACAATGCTTCTACTCATACAATCGCAGAGTATCAGCCCGCTTGATTTAAGGTCATAGGGTCAATCAACCTAATCATCAAATCTGATGATTAATCCCTTTCCATAATCGCAATCGCGAACCTCAGATTGAATATCCACGATCGCACGATATCAATCTGAGTTTGGAAGGGAAACGAAAACTGATTTGAAATAAACGCAGACCCTCAAGACTAATCCATGGAATCCATTACCCTTAGGTTGATTAAAAGGTTCTTAGCCTCGCATGGCTAAGGTAAGCATAATTGAAATAAGAAGAAGAAGAAGAAAAAGATGAAGAACGCGAAGAACGCTTCAGAGAAAATACTTTTCTGTTGTAAAACTGACTCCCAAGGGTTTCCTAGAGTCCCCTTTAAATAGCCGTCACGCAGGACGGCTAGGGTTTCATCACTTCAGCCCAAAGATAAAGTAAAAGCTAAATAAAAAATAAAACAATAAAATAAAACATGGCCTTGGGCCCTAAACACATTGGGTTCTAATGTGAATTACAAGTCCAAACGTCAAAATAAAATTCCAGCAAAACATGTCATCTTGAGATCAAGTTTCGATCATCTTCCCGTCCGAATTGGGCTTCAGTAGATGAAATATAGATTGTAGCCCTATCTGTTAGCTGCAAATAGAAACAAGAACGGAGTCAATCGGACATCTGTAGAGTGAGATATGGTCAAAATACAAAAGTAGTGTAAATCTGGAAAATTATGACGAAAATCAATTAAACCCAACTAAAATCTAGAATAGTGAATTGACCCAAAAGACCTTTATTTAATTCAAATAAATCATAAAAATACCAACCAAGAGTAATACATAAGTGTAACAAAATATGAGTTATCAACATACAACATGTGTTCATAAGGGAACTAAAAATATCCATCTTGCAAAATGTATGAATCTATGCAAGAGTACCAAGCTCATGGAGTTTTCTTTTCAATCCATAAAATTCTCTTTTCAATCGGTAAACACAATTCCCTGGTCCTTTTTAACATATTGATTATTCTTGTTGAACTATCCTTCTTTCCACGTCTTTGACTTTGACCGCGACCACCTAAATTGGTCCCCTTGAAAGCATTTGTGATTTTTCTCAACCACCCTACTCTACAATGTGTTGAAACTACTGGTTTTCTAATTCGTTAATTCTCTGCTCATGAGAACATAAAGATCCCATAAACCATTCAACTATCATGGTTGATGAATCTTGGGCCTATTCATTTTTCATTCCAACATAGTTTAATCTATTTGTTATCTTCTCAACCACTTTCTTCTTGTCCAAAGTTTCACCGTTAACTCTCATCTGGCTAACAATAGATTGAACACAATTAAAATATGTGTGGATTGCTTCTGAATTGTTGGGTATGACTCATGTTTTGTATATTGATGAGGGTCCTTATTAGCGAGGGTCCGAGGGAGCCGTCCCGGCGGGGGGTGAGGGGGCAACGCCCTCGACCTCGTAGAGGCCTGATACTGTTATGGGCATCTGACTTATTGTAATTTTATTTTTCTTAGTGTTTTAGATTTGAGCCCATGAATAGCTGCTGTTAAGATTTTTTAAATTCTATATGGATTCCCTTGTAAACCGAGTGACTTGTAACGAGTGGAGGTGAGGTGAATATAGTGCAGGAAAGTTGGACGTAGTCTACATTAGGTGAACCAGGGTAAATCACTATGGAAAATCTCTCTTCCCTTTCCCTTTTGTTTTTTGATTTGTGTGTGTTAATTTCTAACAATTGGTATAAGAGCTTTGGTTCTGTGATCGAGGTTCTTGTGACAGATTTGGGTTTTACAATTTAAGTTTTTTCTTGGCATAGAGAAAACTGTGAAATTGAACTAGAGAGGCTGTCGACTGGCCAATCATGGATTGGGGTTAAAAAGTTCAGAGGAAAATGGTTCGAGTTATGGAAACTGAAGATGGAGGCTTTTCTCGTTGACAGAGATGTTTGGTACGTGATAGAAGATGAGAAGCCTTCGGTATCAACAAAAACTGTAGGTGATGGAACGTCAGAGGAAGCCGAGTCAAAGGAGTTGAACGCTTGGACCAGAGACGATCGAAAGGCGCGAAGCCCTATCTGGTTATGCCTAGTAGATAACGTTTTGGTGAACATAACTTTTGAGAAGATCGCGAAAGATCACTGGGCGAAGCTGGGAGGTCTCTATCAATGCAAGTCACTTATGAACAAGCTATTCTTGCAGTGAAGGCTGCATAATCTACAGATGAATGTTGGGTCAAAAACTTGTTGGTTGATTAATATATTATGATGAAGGGCGTTCCTTTATTCTAGTTCATTAAGAGAAAACACATTTGTTCCCTTAACTTCAACCCAAGTGCGCAAGTGCACGCATCAAGTAATAAATGAGACTATTAGTGCCCAGATTATCGTTCCCACGAGGATAGAACTCTAATTAATGCCTTAAACTATTTTAAAAAGAATGAAAATGAAAAGAAAAGTTAGTAATTGACCTGTTTGGTCAAACGTTCCCTACTGTCTAGACAACGTTCCTCAAGAACAGTAGGTTCAATTTGACAGCAAATAGCTCCTCGCGTCGTTATATATGGAATCCTTCTTGATGAAAGAAGGAACGACAATATTCATTGGAGATTTGTATATACAAGATTGAATAAAGCAGAAATAACAATAGTAATAACAATAATTAAGAGACAACAATATGGATGGTTTTAAAACAGTTTTAACACAAGGAACAGATCCACTGCTCCATTCTTAAATAGCTATTTTCTCTACTCAAGACTTAACACTTTTGTATTTGTTCCAGTCTCTTCACTGCCAACTCTGATTCCTCAGCTCATGGACTAAATGGCTCACAAATTTCCATATTCCTATGGCTCCCTTGACTCCAACAGTTACTTAGCACAAGACCTTCAAATGCACAAGGTGATCCCTTATTTCTAAGGCAACCGGCAGTGTTGTTTCCAC